GTCATCTGCCCTGTCTGTCAACCTGTTGAGTAGCGCAATCAAGTGCTGGTGATCTTTTCCTTCTCTAGCCTCTTATCCTGAGCCTGAGTTCATAGTTCTGAGATGATCCCAGAGAGGATTGGTGTTTCCCTCTGGCGCTGTCCCTGTCCCACACACTTCTGCAAGATGTCTGCAATCCTTATCGTGTTCCTGTTGTGACAACCCCGCCTCACCTAAGGCTTCTTAATGGCAAGTGTATTTCTTCCCATTCCTTATTGGAAAAATGGGTAAACACTCTTCTTTCTTTCCCATAGCCTTCTGATCTGTGAGCAGGGCTTTCATTCTTCCACTTTAGATTCCGTACACTTGGCTATTGGGGTCTTATTCTTTTCTCTTACTAGGGTTCCCCAGTAGAGAAAGCTGAGGCCTGGAATGTTTTCTAGGAAAAGCGTAGACCAGAAAATCGTGAATTAGCTGCACGCCCGATCACCGAGCTCACCTTCCTAATTTTTTAAAATTTATTTCTTTGGCAGCATTGGGTGTTGCCTGCACCACCATCTCCACAGTGTTGGGTGATCTGTTTGTTTCTTTTTCTGTTCTTTCTCACAAGGGCCCTGGTGAGCTTATTGTCCAGTCCATTTCACTTAATGGTCTTCCTGAATTCTCTGTGTTATCTGAGTGGTTTTTCCTCTTGCTGCTTGGTATTGTATAATCGCTGAAATTGGGCTGAAGTTCCTTCCATCAGTGCTTGGAATGTGACAGATAGTTCTTGTACCTAGCCATGTCCCGGAGCCCTTGAAGGGGGACCTATTTTTCTGTTTCTTTCCTCCTTTCTGTTTTTTTTTTTTTAAACAATTTCATGTATCCATTCTTTTCTAAGTTCTTCTGATTGTTTCCCTTATCCCCTCAACATTGCTAGACTGAACCCACCAAAACATGCATAGTACTTCAGAACTGATCTGGGCTTGTGGCCAGCTTAACTGAAAAGACTTGAGCTAACATGGAAGTTAGTTTGTTTATTTAGGCTGTGACTTTCATAGTGCCTATTAGGCAAAAAACCTACCTGAATGTTTAACATTTAAAAGTAAAATTAAATTTCAAATGGGACCGTGAGTGCAAGAAGCATTCCTGGCTCTGGAGGCCCCCTTTTTGGTATTTCTTTCCCTAAGCTATCATTTCTGTTTCTCTTTCCTCCTTTGTCCCCTTGGTTCCACCCACTTTCCACTTTGGTTCACCTTTGAATATCTTGAACTGTAGCTCCTATTTGCAATTTTCCTGCCTTCAAAAGTCTAGCGGCTAACAGTTTTTATATGTGATCTCAGTAAACAAAGACTGTGTGTGTGTGTGTGTGTGTGTGTGTGTGTGTAGGTAGGAAGCCTGCCACATTTCCTCCCTGCCCTACAGAAAATGTGTTTTCTGGAAGCCCTTTTGACATTGAAGTGAATGCCCACTGGCCCTCCCTTGCGGAATTCTCCTGAGAGGGGAGAGAGAGAGAGAGAGGCCTTTATGCTTGTTGTCATATCTTTTGTTTCTGCTGATTATACACAAAGTAAGTTGTAAATAGCTCTCTCACACACCATGATTCCTTTGAGGTATATACAGGAGTACAGATAGGCACTCAGATTCAGCTGGCCCTGGGGATTCCACAGGGTCCCTTTAGAGGCCTCTCTCTTCCTGTCACAGCACCAGCAGAAGTGATTTTTATCAGTTTGAGACAGTTTTCATCCCATAATTAAACTCCTTGGCATAATGTTTAGAAATATTCAGCTGATTAGTTCAGTGTTTTTCTTTGTTTTTAACTTAAATGTTTTTTTTTAATTAACTCAAAAGCAAAATATACAAAGATGCAAAAAAAGGAATAAAAAAAGTCTCCAAAGTCGTAATCACTGTGAACATTTTGTAAAAACCACTGTAGTTGCTTGGCATTGAAACAGACAGTTACTACTAGCCTAGCACAGAGGAAAGTTAAAATGCCCCCCACCCCAATCAGTTTAAGATTTATATTCCAAACAGTGATTATGTACGCACCATGTTTTATTATCTTAATTTACAACAGAATAATAAGGAGTTACAGAATTTATGTCTGCTGTTTCTCTTAGCGTTTTTTGATTGCCTTTGGGTTGCTGGCTAACTTCTGAGGTTTTCTAAATCAAAAGGCAGAATGAGATGGGCCAAATTATAACTAATTGTGTTATCAGCCTTCAGATCTTTTGTATTTTCTGTGCTAAGTTTTGATGAATTGCCTTTCCCTTTTTAGAAACCCCCCTGTCTGATAATTGAGGACACTGGTTACGGTGGAATGGTCAGGTATCCTTAGACCATAACCTGTTAGCGAACAGTGTGGTTTTGGTTTGAATCTCAGTTTCCTAATCTCTAAAATTTAAGGGGTTACTTTTATGGATCCTTATCTTTTTTTTTTTTTTTTATCCTGCTCAGAAATTCTATGAGTCCAAGTTTGAAAGTGCCACCCACTTCCCCACTAGTTCCTTTTGTGATTAGGGTTGTTGGAACATACTGGTAGCTTGCCACTGTTTCCTCCCTGACTTATTCACAGACCTTTTTGTTTTCTTTCAGAAACTGTATTTCTAAGTGTCTGAGGTTGTAATTGAATGTAATTGTAATTGTTTAACTTTCTTTCCCTCCTGAGAGTGTTTATAAAGTGTATTCAGTGACTGAGGATAAAAAGGAACTAGAGACTTAGTATTTATGACATGGTCGAGTACTATTAAGGTAAGTAGAAATTTGTTTTATGTTTGTGAAATTATTGTTTACATACAATTTGCAATATATACATTCTGACTATGGAATCTGCTTCAGTCAATTAAGTAGTTACATTTGTCAAGGTTTTATAGGAAGCTTTTTGGGGGGTTCATTTTGATGCAGAATATTCTAAGATTGATTTTTTTTCTCCCCTTTCCTTCTATTGCCCCCTAGGGAGAGTTACTGATGCAGAACTCATTAGTGCCCCTCCATATGTCAACCAGGGGGTGGAATCAGCAGTATTTCTGTGTGTGACACAACACAAATTCCAAATGTCTCTACCCTTCTTTATGTCCAGTTTCTCTCATTCCTCAATTTAGAGGATAAATTCCCTTTTACTTTGCTTATGTTTTCTCACACCAAAGAGCAAGTAGCAGGTCTTGATTTCTGTTAACACCTGCTTTGTTTCCTGTGTCTTTTTTGTTATGTCATTCATATGAAACATCTCAAATGCCTCTAGAATAGATGTCACTAAATGTGATTACATGGTTTTAAAAATCATTTTTTTAATTCTTAATTTTTCATTTCCTTCTCATTTCTTTTAAATTTGAATCTGAGCTTTGCCACTTAATAGCTTGTAACTCTGAGTTACTTATGTCCGCTAAGCCTCAGTTTTTGCATGTAATATGGGAATGCTGATATCTCTATAATAATTGATGGGGAGGGAGTTTTAGTCTATGTGTAAGGTGCCCATGTGGTGCCTGGCACATGGGACTCTACTGGTGGAACTTGTGGGTAGGGTGATTATTAACTGCAAAGACAGATGATATTCTATCCTTTTTACCTTATGGGCAGAGACAGAATGAGAGACTTTAAAGGAAGGAGAGCGTTAGCCTTAAAAAGATTCATAGAGTTGACTGTATGCCTTTTTTATTAGTGATATTCACTAGTGCAAAGTGAAAGTTATTGAAAATTATTTAAGTTTTAAGTAGTAAACTGATTTGAGTCAAAAGAAAGAAGGAACCACTGAAGGCAGTGTTTGGCTAAAAACAGATCTCTGAACAAAGAAAATTGATTAGCACAGATGATCTTAATTGGAATTAAACAAACCAAACACCAAAGGAGTGCTTTGATAGGGAAAGAAGATAAAGGTGAGATGAGGCTTAGTTGATACAGGAGATTCTGGTACATAGAGGTCAATATGTGATTATTCAAGGTAGCATGTGTTTGTAAATAATAAGTAGCAATTAGAGAAAATTTTTTATTTTATTTGCAGTGCTGGGGATTGAACTCAAGACCTTTTACTTGCTAGGCAAGTACTCTACTGCTGAGCTACATCCCAGCCTCTGAAGAGACAATTAAAAAAAACAAAAACAGAATATTGGTTTAGATGGAATCTAAATCCTTTTTTCTTATACTCTGACGTGAAATAAGTGGTAGTAGGCAATATTTAAAGATGATACTAATTTTTTTAGAGAGAGAGAATTTTTAAAAATATTTATTTTTAGTTTTTTCAGTAGACACAACATCTTTATTTTATTTTTATGTGGTGTTGAGGATAGAACCCAGCGCCCCGTGCATGCCAGGCGAGCGCATTACCACTTGAGCTATGTCCCCAACCCAATACTGACTAATTTTAATAAATAACATAATTTTGAAAGGGGATCTTTGTGACTTTCAGTAGATAATTCTAGAATTTGGAAATATCCATGAGATTATAAATGTTGTTATCATTTTTATTAGAATATACTTACAAATCAAGGTTTTTAAACTTAAGGTATTAAGTATGTTAAGAAGTAAATAATATTGATAGATAAAGCCTGTCTGTGCTCACCGATAGCTGGAGTAGGAAAAGCATATTTATCAGGTATTTTAATAGTAGAAAGAGACTTTAGGCATCACAGAATGCCTTTACTTAATTCTCACATATGAATATTAGACACAGAAAGAAAAAATTAAGTCACCAGTGTGTAGAGATTGTTTCAGCCTTTTCTCTTCACTCACTTCCCTTTTGCCTTAAACTTCCTTATTCCTGTCCATAGATACTTAATAAATGTCTACATTGTGCAACTTGATATGAATATAAGGGGGGAAATTTATGTGGATCTTTTCTTCTTGGAACTTACCTTATTGTAGTTAATAAAGCAGGTTGTGTAATATTTGCAATATATTCAGCATACCAAGTGGCAAACAGGTCAGGCCAATAAGTCTGTTTCAGACCTGCCGTTGGGATGACCTTGCTTCTGCCTGGGTTAAGTGTAACTGTTTGCTGTTCTTAGCAGCCTCCATACCCAGCATCTAACCCAGCCGTATTCCCCTAGGTTCCACTGGCATGTGCTGGCAGAGTGCTGGGTGCAGACTTCTGCCCAGACCTGGAGGAGCCAGACCAGAGGCTGGAAGTCCAGGTTGGAGTCTTACTGTTTTATCAGCTGGGGGTGGTATGACAGAAACAGTGATCCCTGAAGGCTACACTAGTGTTATCAATGTTATTAGGACAAGACAACTCTTGAAAGGTGTGAAGAGGGACCAATGTAGCATGTATACAACAAAAGACTCTTTTCAGGATGAATTGTCTAACTGGAGATCATTCATTCATTTATTTATTCATTCATTCTGGCCTGGTGTGATGGTGCACACCTGTAATCCCAGTGACTTGGGATGCTGAGGCAGGAAAATCACAAGGTTAAGGCCAGACTAGGCAACTAAGCAAGACTGTGTTTCAAAATGAAAAATAGAAAAGGGCTGGGAATATAGTTCAATGTAGAACAACACTAGGTTCAATCCCCAGTACCACACACATACGCAAAAGATACATATCCTGGAGTAGAAATGAACATGGTCTCTGAAGGTTGACTGTCTAGTTTGACACAGTTGCTGTGAGACTTTTGGCAAGTAATTCAACCTAAGTTAGCCTTAGTTTTCTCATCTGTAAAATGGAGATTTACTAGAAAAGATGATTATGAGGCTTAAATTACCTGAGTTAACACAGGGTCTGGCACCAAGAGCCACTGTTAATATTAATTATTTCTCATCTTTTAAAACATCATTGTCATATATAAGTACTCTGTGGGGCACAGGAACATGTAATAAGTCATCCTTCTGCATTATGGTCTCTCATCTTAGAACAGTAACCATTCAACCAGGTACTTTAGAAGAGAAGTATGGCTGGGTGCAGTAGCAGTGGCTCAGAAAGCTGAGGCAAAAGGATTATCAAATTCAAAGCCAGCATCAGCAACTTAGTGAGGCCCTAAGCAACTTAGCAAGACCCTGTCTCAAAATAAAAAGTAAAATGGGATGGTGATTGGCTCAGTGCTCAGTGGTTAATCACTCCTGGTTTCAATCCCAGGTAGCTAAAAAAAAAAAAAAAAAGACTTAGAGATAAATATTTTCTGTTTTCATGGATTGGAAAGATATATGCAGAGTAAATTTTTCCTGAAAATGTTGGCTTGAATTTTCATGTGGCCTTGAAGCATTAGAAGTCATTTAGAATGCTGCAGATTGAAATGTAAATATGACATTTTGGCTAGAGGTATGTCTCTACTTCTCTGTAACTTTTAATTTCAAGGATTGTATGTGCCATTGCAAAGATATAGGTTGAGGTTTCAATATGGATGACATTCCCTAGCATGAGCAAACCCAGGTTATATATATATTTTTTTCCAGGGACTCCATTTGGCATTGTTTTCTAAATTTCCAGGCTTATGGGTTAGCATAGTGAGCTTCGTTTTAAAACATTTTTACTGATTTAGATACCCCACTTGAGAAAAGAGAGAATGGCTTTAAAAATTGACATCTTCACAGTGGGAGTGAGGATAGGAGTAGAGGTAGGGGGGAAGTTTCAGTGTTTATGGTACTGAAGGTACACCGTCTCTTGCACACCTGCTCTTGGCCTAGGGAAGACCACCTGAGCATTGCTGTGCCCTAAGCTGGTACCGTCTGGGTGGTGTATAGCTGTGGGACACTAGGAAAGCAGGTGTGACACATATGATACTTGATCTTGTGCTTCTTCGTTCTAGAGAACTAACAGCTTGTGTATGACATATAAATGCAGAGTGATGGAAGACACTGTGCGATCCTTGAACTCTTTGGGTAGGACAAGGGATGTTCATCACCTGGAAGAGTCTGTTATGGGTGATTGTTGGATCATCTGTTTTTGAACCTTGAGTTATGGTGCAAAGAGAACGGGTTTAACATATGTGAGTGTGTGAAATAAAGCTGAAAAAGACCTATGAAGCACATTAGTTTGACATAACAAGAGAAAGAAAAGTACACTTACAAGTTGAAATGAAACTGTGGTTGTTGGTAAACAGATTGTATGACTTACAGTTCAGCATGGACCTTGCAAAGAAGACAAAGTTTCTGGACAAAATGATGAAATGTATCATATTATTGAATTTATTATTTTGTAATACCTTTCTGGTAGATTGAAAATGTTAGATCTGTTAAAAGATTGTCAACTATAGTGATTTTTTTTAATATTTATTTTTTTAGTTGTAGTTGGACACAATACCTTTATTTTACTTATTTATTTTTATGTGGTGCTGAGGATTGAACCCACAGCCCCACATGTGCTAGGTGAACATTCTACTGCTGAGCCACAACCCCAGCCCCATGAATTGTTGAATTAACTGGTACCAACTACAACCATTTCCTCTTCTTCCCCCCTTTTTCCTTTTCTCTCCTGAATATGATTTCCATATATTTTAGAAATACCTAGTATATCCATATTATGTCAGTCATAATAAACTTGACAATATATTCTTCATCAGATAACAATTCCAGGAGTGTTTTCTAGCTGCATCTGATTGCATTCTTGCCATGGCATATATCCTCCCCTTTTTTGCATACTAGGGAATGAACCATTTCTTATTTTTCAGTTCAGCTCTATCCTCCAGGGAACTCAGTGTAGAACTTGCCAAGTTGTTCACCATTTTTGCATGGCTCTCAGGCTTTCCTCCAGGGCCAGGCATTGTAACCACAAGTGGGTTTGCTGTTTGGCCTCTTGATTCTGCGAGTAACCTCTGTACACCTCAATTTAGGAGCAATGGTGTGGGTATATCCTTTCTTAAAAATAATTTCCATTTAGACACACATTCTCATATCTGGGTTAGTTTTCTATTTTAGGTGATGTAAGTTCTCATGACTGGTTCTTTCTGTTCTTCTTCCGTTTAAGCCTTGGCAATTTTCCCCTAAAATTTCAGAATTTTTAGAAGCTTTGTAATTTAATAATCCTAAGACCTCTAATATATAACTCTTCCATATATATATCTCTTTGGTTTTGAATGACTGTCATCCTTCAAGTCTGTTCCTGGCAGGGAGTTTGCTGTTTTTGTGTTAATATGTTTGGTTTAGAAAGATTCTTGGAAATTGAGACTTCATTTCACTATCTAAATTTGTTTTCCTCAGTGTCTTGAAGTAGGTATAAACTGGGTACTGTTTAATATGGGAGGTTAACTGATGTATAGTAACAAAGAATTGTGCTCTCATAGTTATCTTCTAGGAAATTATTCTAGTTTAGACCTCTCTTAATTGCTGGTGTTTCATTATTAATTAAGTTAACTTTCTTAGTGTAGGTGTGTCTCATCATGTATTAAGTTCTTGCAGTTATCTTAGCACAGTTCTTTACTTGGTTGAGAATTCAAGATGTGAGGTTTGACTTGGTAATTTTCACCACTGAAGTGCTTAGAAAATTAGAGTAAATAATGAACCAATATTTCAGTACCAGGTTAGACACAATTTACTGTGATGTTTCATAAACCACAGACTTCTTTCTTCTGTGAATGCGTGAAGGATCACTTTTTTTTTTCCCAGACATACCGGGGTGCAAGTGTAAATTTCCATAAAATTTAAATGAGGTGCTTCCTGTAATTAATGAACAATTGTGGCTGCTCTCTGGTCTGCATTGTAATTAACCGTGATCAGGCTTGTTTAGTGATGACACTGTTCCTGTAATAATTTGACAAGCTACTGTGAATTTGCCAGGTTATTAAACAACCTGCAGCATTCACTTATGGAATCACAGGGATGAGCTCGGCAGCTACTGCTCTGTCAAATGCAGCATAAGGGTGAACCAGAAGCTACCCCTTGAAGGGGTATCGATCACCACAGCAGATTTATAAATTCCTTGATTTTTGGAGAACTTAATTCATTTTGTATAGGGTGTCTTGAACACTTCTTATTACATGACAAACCTACAGGGGCAAAGTCAGTTATTTTTATGAACTTATGAGGAGCCAGCAAATTCTCTATATTGTTCACACCACTATGGACTAAACAGTCTGAAGTTTCCCTTACCATCTTATTAAATAGGTATGATTATTTACTTATATTCCCTCCCCAATATATCTGCAATATTCTCCCAAATATAAATTCATTTTCTCTTTTTTTTCCCTGTTAGAAATAATAGTTGCTGGGGGTGGGGAGCCTGGTGCGGGGAGAAGGGAATGCAAAAGAAGGCAGAAGAAAGAGGTTCATGATCAAGATGCAAGAAATGCATATATGTAAATGTCACAGTAAAGCACATTAATTTGTGCAATTATTAATGAATCATAGTAAGTAATTAATCAATAAATAAACAGTAGATGACCTTTTACCCTCAGCAAACCTTGTGCCAAGCAGCCATGATGTAGGTAGGTAGAGGTAGAGTGATTTAAGTGGACTGGTAGCCTTACGTCCTTGGTCAATAGTGCACCAGCCCCCAACCCCCTCTTTCAGGTTAAGAACTGTTCAAAACGTTACTGTCTAGTTACTGTGGTGTCTTTCATTCAGATTCTGTTTATTGACTAAACCACAAGGATTCCTGCCCAAAGTACCAGGCGGTCTATGCTTGACTGATTTTGATTTTCTAACATCAGCCCTGGGGTTTATTTGAAAAAATGTACATACACTGCAGCTTTAACAAGTCAAGTGACTGCATGTTTTTGACCATGGAGTAGACTATATCTGAAGATCATTAAATTTGGGTGGTGGGGGGGGGTGGGAGGTAAAGGAGGGTTGGAGAATAAGTGTAGTAGTCATTGTACCATTGCAGAGTGAGAGTGTGTATGTGTGTGTGTGTGTGTGTGTGTGCATGCATGTGTGTGTGACACATGGTTTTTGTCTTTTCATCTTCTCCAAGAGCCAGAAAGTTTCCTGCCGTTCTCTTTCCAGCTATTGACAAATGATTGCCAGATGTGAGATCTTTGCAGTGCTTTTTCCCTCAGCAAACCTGCAGCGAAGGGATATTTGATTCTCCCTTGCCCATTTCATCTCCTTTCCACATCTGCCAGGGACACACAAGCAATACATCCCTACATGAGAGTTTAAAGTTTATTCAGCTCCCTTTCCCCCTCTGATAAAGTGTTTGGAGACAACAGAATGAGGTCCATATGACGCTCTCCCAACTTCACTGTATGAGATTAGTTGT